TTTGCAACTCTGATAACCTTCTATGCATACTGGTTTTGAAAAGACTGACAGTATATCAAAAAATAATTTTTTTTTTTGAATAAGACTAATTTTAACCACCCGTTATTTATTATTAATTTTTATTTTAATTTGAAATTAAAATTAAAATTATAAAGAGTTAAAGTTTAAAGTTAAGATTAAAGATAGGCTAGAATAAGGTTTTTTATAGTGCTGAATATTTTTACTTAATGCATCAAATATGGTTATCTAGTTTTTAAGATAGCATAATGAGGTGGTTTTGTAACTAGGAGACAAATTAGCAACACTTTTTTTTTTATTTCAAAAAAACTACTACATAAAATCTTATCTTTTTTTTTATTTAAAAACTTTAAACAATTGATTATATAATTTTTAGTTTTATATAACTCAAAATAAATTTTTAAAAAATATCCACAATAATATGATACCCTCCTGTATTTAAACAACTCTAAACCAAAATTACATAACAGATTTAATTACGATTGAACCTTTTTTTTATTATTTCTGTATAACAAGCTATTAGCTTCAAAAATTAATAAGTTCATTTTCGTCTTAAGTGCCGTGCAATATACGAAAAAAAAGATAACAATAAGGTTTCCCTACTTCATTATCGAAAGAGTTTCACTTTTAAAAGCTAGATTTTATAAGTTTTATTAACCGTACATACTCTATTTACATACAAGGTATTATGTATTTCTGTTATATATACAATTTACAAATTAAAGAAAAAAACCCACAAAGTACAGGACGTTTAGCGAAGTATAAGGTGGAAATTTTCATTCAAAAGAGATTCGAAAATGTACAAGAAACAAAGATTTGATATTGAATTACACTTTAATTGGATTGATGAGATCACTGTGGTTGATTACTACGCCAATAACCTGGCACACATTTCAAGAAATTCTGGATCAAATCTCTATACTAATTATGTCATCGGACTTATATCTCATGTTATTTATATCACACCCTTCTATATGGTTAAGAACAGATTTCGTTGAATAACTCATGTAGGTGATACACTTTTTGTATTGAAGATCGATGGGCTTCATTTTTGCGAGACCACTTAAAATACTTTGGCAAATTCCCATAAGGTTAGTCCGGTAGGTGGGGTTATTTTCTATATTTTCAATACGTACCGATTCAATAAAAGAAATATAGTCTAGAAATATCTGTAACGTTGTACAAATTTGTAAGTTTTAAAAATAGAATAAACAAGCAAGTACTATAATACACAATGCATAAAAAGAACCTTGCCACCCAAATCCCAATCAGGGACGAAATTTGGGTCAATTTTTTCGAGTAATTCTTGCAATTTTTTATGTCTTTTATGTAAAATACTTTCTGGTGCAATTTTTGATATGACTATTTTATGAGCATCAACGTTATTCCCAGCCCTTAACAAATACGTTGCTTCTTTATCGGTATCATCTCTATATTTTGAATATAAAGCCTAAGAATAGAGTACGTAAATCAAATAAAGTTTAAATATCGATAAATCTTTTTTATGAAAGCTTCCTTATTTATTTATTAATTTACCTTGGCTTGATCAACCCATTTTTGATTTATTTTCAATTGATCATTAGCAAACTTTTCAATATCTTGCAAGCGTTCTGGAGAAATAGAAGACACCAAACGATTCAATATTTCACAAATTACAGTTTTTCGGCT